CCCTCTCTCCCTCCCTCCCTCCCTCCCTCCCTCCCTCCCTCCCTCCCTCCCTCCCTCCCTCCCTCCCCCTCCCTCCCTCTCTCCCTCCCTCCCTCTCTCCCTCCCTCCCTCTCTCCCTCCCTCTCTCCCTTCCCCTCCCTCCCTCCCTCCCTCTCTCCCTTCCTCCTCCTCCCTCCCTCCCTCTCTCCCTTCCTCCCTCCCTCCCTCCCTTCCTCTCTCCCTCCCTCCCTTCCTCCCTCCCTCCATCCCTCCCTCCCTCCATCCCTCCCTCCCTCCATCCCTCCCTCCCTCCATTCCCTCCATCCCTCCTTCTCTCCCTCTTTCCCTCCCTACCTCTCTCCCTTCCTCTCTCCCTTCCTCTCTCCCTTCCTCTCTCCCTTCCTCTCTCCCTTCCTCTCTCCCTTCCTCTCTCCTCCCTCCCTCTCTCCCTTCCTCTCTCCCTTCCTCCCTCTCTCCCTCCCTCTCTCCCTCTTTCCCTCCCTCCCTCCTTCCATCCCTCCCTCTCTCCCTCTTTCCCTCCCTCCCTCTCTCCCTCCCTCCCTCCCCCTCCTCCCTCTCTCCCTCCCTCCCTCCCTCCCTCCCTCCCTCTCTCCCTCCCTCCCTCCCTCCCTCCCTCCCTCCCTCCCACCCACTCTCCCTCCCACCCACTCTCCCTCCCTCCTTCCCTCTCCCCCTCCCTCCCTCCCTCCCTCCCACCCACCCTCCCTCCCTCCCTCCCTCCCACCCACCCTCCCTCTCCCCCTCCCTCCCTCCCTCCCACCCACCCTCCCTCTCCCCCTCCCTCCTTCCCTCTCTCTCCCTCCCTCTCTCCCTCCCTCTCTCCCTCCCTCCCTCCCTCCCTCCCTCCCTCCCTCTCCCCCTCCCTCTCTCCCTCCCTCCCTCTCCCTCCCTCCCTCCCCCTCCCTCCCTCCCTCCCTCCCTCCCTCCCTCCCTCTCCCCCCCCTCCCTCCCTCCCTCCCTCCCTCCCTCCCCCTCTCCCTCCCTCCCTGCCTTTCTCCCCCTCACTGCCTCTCCCTCCCTCACTGCCTCTCTCCCCACCTCTCTCCCTCTCTCATTACCTCCCTTCCTCCCTCACTACCTATCTCCCTCACTGCCTTCCTCACTCGGGATGGTTTCCAGTGTGGTGGGCAGGGATGGCAATATTTGTTTACAGTTGCTGACACGTCCTTTGTAACTGTCACACACTAAGTATTTATAATTACAAATGCCGACTCTAGAGGATTCAAGGTACTGTATGTACTATATACAGTACAGTATACCTTTTGTAAGGTATATAAAGATATACAGTATGATTCATTATTTTACAATTTAGTAGTACTGTATATAACAATCAATCTTGATTTATGTTAAAGCACCACTTGGTTTCCAAACCCCTTGGGGATGAGACCCGTCGGTTATCATGTAAGTTCGTAAACGAGAAATGGAGGGAAAAAATAAATTAGAAATGTAAAAAAAAAATTATCGAAAAATGTATGAATTAACTCTAGGGGAAAAAATCAACAGGTTCATAGCATAAATGTGACCGTATTTTGTTTGTACTCACCAATAAGTGAAGTCCTGATCCGCTTATGTTGTTGATCAATGTTAATGAAGCATAGTTATTTACATGGAAGAGGTAGTAGTGGATGTTGATGGTGCTGGGTTGACTGGGTCAACATGATGAGTTAGGTGGAGGTGATGCAATGTGAGCTTTCTTGGAAGCCATTGTAAAAGACTCTTTAATTGACATTTGTTTGTGACATCATCTGCCACTGGCTTTATCGTCACCTAATGCCAAGGTGACAAATCAAGTTGTCACCAACAAATCAAGGTTGGCCCTGCTGTATATAGTTCACAGAATTGGGGTTGTACAGTAATTAAGGTAAAAATGCCATGTGGAGTTGCATAACTATACTGACAAAATAACTGAGGGAGAATGGTACACTTCCAGGCACACAGTCCTTGCAAACTATTACTCAGAGATCTCTTGCTAATGGTTTTGATGTACAGTATTGGCATATAGTTCATAGATGGAATTTTTTAATGACCAATACTGGCTATTTAAAAAATGACTGGCAAAATAAATTAGGATAATCAGCCTCTTATTGACAGGTGAATGTTATTTTAATTGTTTACACTATAGGAAATAAATATTGTAATGTAACTTTACAGTGGCATGGCAGCTCAAGCAGAAGGAGTTGCAGCTCAGCCAGTAGGATTTGAGGCCGCACTTCAGTCTGCTGAGAAGCGTATTAACTCACTCAGGTCTTCAGGACAAGTACATCCTCAGCAGCCTATTGTGTCTGTGGAGAACTTTATAGTTGAATTCACACCAGATTGGTAAGTTCTGTAATATTAATAATTATCAAGTATCTTATTCTTCTAAATTAAAGTATTTTCTGAGCTACATGTATCATATTATGGTACTCCATAAGATCCTTTGTCCGTAAGGCTGGATCATGCACATTCTGGCACCAGTGCCACAGGAACTTATCTTCAAGCAGTTCCTGTCATCATAATAGTTACTGTGGAGTCACTGACAAGCCTTTAATCCTACCCTGAAAAACAAATAGAGGTCCATTCATAAAAACTCAAAACCCTTCCTAACCCTCATTTGGCATCACAGGTGACTGCCAGAGGAGGGTTCTTCCTTGCTCCCATTTGGCCTGACTACCATCTATGCTAACTGCCACCAAGCAGTAGCCCCATTCACTCCTCTGGGTTTCCAAATCCAAGCTACTGTACCTCACATTTCTCTTGATTTAAATGGTTATATTCCAGGGAAAATTAGGATTAAGGACCTGCCTGAAATGCTATGCATGCTAGTGGCTTTACAAGAATGTAAGAACTCTTGTATATATAAATAAAATAAAATAATGACTGTTTCATATCAGTGGGCATGCACAGACCTGATCTTCAGTTAAGTTTTGCCTGGTTTGGCGTCTGTTTTTAATTCTGTACTAAAGGCTCAACTAATTTAGTTAGTGTTTTTGAATGTCATTGATACTTTACAGACATTAGTTTAATTCATTAGTTTAGTGGTGATACCACACAGCAGTGGATATGCTCTGTGAGCATTTTCCAGTTCATTCACAGTCCTCATACAAGGATTTTTAGTGTTTATTTGTGGTATGGACAAACTGTACACAAATGTACACCGTATTGCACATACTAACTAAAAAATAACATGTACATACAAACAAATGTACTAGTTAACACTTTCGCGCTCTCCGCAAAGGTCACTCAGCCAACCGAATGTGCGCGCTGCGTTTTTATCGCTTAAGCGTAAAAACAAAAATGTGTATACTCTTTTTACCCTTCTGACCTTAGTTCTCATGCTACGTATTTCATTTTGGTACCAACGTGTTCGCAATAAAATTCTCTAGAAGAACATTAGTAAAATAAGTCACAAAACATATAGGGATACCAGCACCAAATAAATAACTACGTAGATGACTCGCCGTGAGCGCCCATCAGCAACAAAATGTTTTTACTCTTGGGATTGTAATCACCTCCACACTTGTTCTACAGCGTTAATTTTGGTATCAATGGACTCGCAATGAAATTCCCAACACGGTGATATGAATATAAGCGTAGAATAATGATGCAGCCCGCCCGCAAGAGTGTGGGAAGTGGTGAAATTGTTACCCGGTATCGGTGACGGGACGACGCACGACGCTCTGAAAGTTTATACTTATTTCACTCTCATGACATTAATTTTCTATGTACGTCATTCATTTTTATGTCAATGTGTTCGCAATAGAATGTTCTATGTGCCCATAGGTAAAAAATATCAACAAAGCGTAAGTTAGAATAGCGACAAATATAAAACAACGCTGAAACATATCAGTGAGCGTCAAACACACACGAAATATTTTTACTTTTGTTATGTTTGTCAAGATTATACTTGTTGCACACAGTTATTTTTGGTTGTATATTGATCGGAATAAAATTCCCTAAACAGACATATGCATATAATACATGATATGGGGGAAGAATTACCAGTATAAATGGCTAAAGTCACCCACCTGCAACCCGTTTGGGACAAAATACCATTTGATCGAAGTTATCCACACCTTTCATGAACTTATTGTACCATGCAGCCTAGTGGTGAGAAAGAGAGCCTCATAGAGCGCAGTTTGAAACAAACCAAAAGTAAATCGGATAAAAATTGAATTTTATACAAATATTTTAAAAGTAGACATAACTTTATGTCCACTATGCGTTTACGTTAGACGAAACCGAACGCGCCGGCGCGTCCAGATAGCGCGAAAGTGTTAATATATACTAACTAGTCTTGAGCGGAGTCTTGAGGTGGGTAGAATATAGTTGTGCATTAATTGGCTGTTGATTGCTGGTGTTGACTTCTTAGTCAACACCAATCTAGACACCTCAAGACTCCGCTCCAATATAGAAGCATCAAGAAATATGGACCAATAGGCTTTCTACAATCACTTCCATTCAATACCCATTGTTTCGTGTTCTGTCTTGAGTTGATGAATTTAATACCCTATTAAAACCACCTCACCCCATCCACCTCACTAAAATGTAGATATAAACAAATCGGAGATGTGTAAGTTCTATTCAGTTGTGTATGTGTAAACTAAAGTCTTTGAAAATGTAATAAGTTTTACGAAACGTGCTCAAGTGTCGCGTCAGACTAGAAATAAAAATGAATTTTGGAGAATTGATTTTTGAATTACCACCAACAGTAAAAAGAAATGTACGAACGATTGAGAAAATTCGTGTTAGAATTATTAATCTTACTTTTTCGGTCATATTTAATAATATATGTCTACAGGAAAGACTGCTACCAAAATATACTAATATATATATATATATATATATATATATATATATATATATATATATATATATATATATATATATATATATATATATATATATATATATATATATATATATATATATATATATATATATATATATATATATATATATATATATATATATATATATATATATATGTATGTGTGTATATCACGAAAATAAACACGTGATTAAGAATGTGACAATGTCAGACCACGGAGGAAAAATGAAACAGGAAATTTCCTTAAGTACTTTCGTATATTAAATACGAAACCTTATATAAACCTTAACGTATATTAAATACGTTAAATACGAAACCAAATACGAAATATTTGGACCTTCTGAAGATGTATTTAATATACGAAAGTACTTAAGGAAATTTCCTGTTTCATTTTTCCTCCGTGGTCTGACATTGTCATATGTATGTATGTATGTATGTTGTACCTAGTAGCCAGAACGTCGTACTCGGCCTGCTATGCAAGGCCCGATTTGCCTAATAAGCCAAGTTTTCCTGAATTAATATATTTTCTTTAATTTTTTTAGTTATGAAATGATAAAGTTACTCATTTCATTATGTATGAGGTCAATTTTTTTTTATTGGAGTTAAAATTAACGTAGATATATGACCAATTGTGACCAACCCTACCTAACCTATCTTTATAGGTAAGGTTAGGTTAGGTAGCCGAAAAAGTTAGGTTAGGTTAGGTTATATATATATATATGTCGTACCTAGTAGCCAGAACTCACTTCTCAGCCTACTATTCAAGGCCCGATTTGCCTAATAAGCCAAGTTTTCCTGAATTAATATATTTACTATAATTTTTTTCTTATGAAATGATAAAGCAACCCTTTTCTCTATGTATGAGGTCAATTTTTTTTTATTGGAGTTAAAATTAACGTAGATATATGACCGAACCTAACCAACCCTACCTAACCTAACCTAACCTATATTTATAGGTAAGGTTAGGTTAGGTAGCCAAAAAAAGCTAGGTTAGGTTAGGTTAGGTAGGTTAGGTAGACGAAAAAACATTAATTCATGAAAACTTGGCTTATTAGGCAAATCGGGCCTTGAATAGTAGGCTGAGAAGTGCGTTCTGGCTATTAGGTACGACATATATATATATATATATATATATATATATATATATATATATATATATATATATATATATATATATATATATATATATATATATATATATATATATAGATATATAGATATATATATAGATATATATATAGATATATATATAGATATATATATATATATATATATATATATATATATATATATATATATATATATATATATATATGCATATAATACATATATATATATATAATAATTATATATATATATATATATATATATATATATATATATATATATATATATATATATATATATATATATATATATATATAATATATATATATATATATATATATATATATATATATATATATATATATATATATATATATATATATATATATGTCGTACCTAGTAGCCAGAACGCACTTCTCAGCCTACTATGCAAGGCCCGATTTGCTTAATAAGCCAAGTTTTCATGAATTAATTGTTTTTCGACTACCTAACCTAACCTAACCTAACTTTTTCGGTTACCTAACCTATAAAGATAGGTTAGGTTAGGTTAGGTAGTTTTGGTTAGGTTCGGTCATATATCTACGTTAATTTTAACTCCAATAAAAAAAATTGACCTCATACATAATGAAATGGGTAGCTTTATCATTTCATAAGAAAAAAATTAGAGAAAATATACTAATTCAGGAAAACTTGGCTTATTAGGCAAATCGGGCCTTTCATAGTAGGCCGAGAAGTGCGTTCTGGCTACTAGGTACGACATATATATATATATATATATATATATATATATATATATATATATATATATATATATATAATATAATATAATATATATAACAAATCCACAAGGACCGTGACGAGGATTTAAACCTGCGTCTGGGAGCATCCCAGACACTGCCTTAATCGATTGAGCTACGACAGGGTTAAAAGAGTTGAAACCGGAGTTCTACTGAACTTATTGGATCCCGCAGCCTCTCCGAGGCACAAACCAGAATTTTACACAAATCCCCCCTGCACTTGAGCTATGTCAATAGGCCGTTCTCCCTCTTTGCCCTTACATCATTACGCACAGAAATCACACTGACATGATGTATCCAATGAACAAGTCCACAAGGGCCGTGACGAGGATTCGAACCTGCGTCTGGGAGCATCCCAGACACTGCCTTAATCAACTGAGCTAAGACAGGGTTAAAAGAGTTGAAACCGAAGTTCTACTGAACTTACTGGATCCCGCAGCCTCTCCGAGGCATAAACCAGGATTTTACACAACTCCCCCCTGCACTCGAGCTATGTCAATAGGCCGTTCTCCCTCTTCGCCCTTACATCATTACACACAGAAATCACACTGACGTGATGTATCCAATGAACGAATCCACAAGGGCCATGATGAGGATTCGAACCTGCGTCTGGGAGCATCCAAGACACTACCTTAATCGACTGAGCTACGACAGGGTTAAAAGAATTGTGTAAAATCCTGGTTTGTTCCTCGGAGAGGCTGCGGGATCCAGTAAGTTCAGCAGAACTGCCATTTCAACTAAAAATATATATATATATATATATATATGTCGTACCTAGTAGCCAGAACGTACTTCTCGCCCAACTATGCAACGCCCGATTTGCCTAATAAGCCAAGTTTTCCTGAATTATTATATTTTCTCTATTTTTTTTCTTATGAAATGATAAAGCTACCCATTTCATTATGTATGAGGTCAATATATATATATGTGTGTGTGTGTGTGTGTCTTTCTATATGGCTCGTGGTCCCCGGTAGGCATTAGAACTCCATTCGAAGGACTTTTGCCATGGTCTAATACATGCATATCTGCCCGGTAAGCTCCGGGGGAATCTCCGGGACTCACCCTGAAAATGGCGTTTCATTACATTCAACGCTGGTTTTTTATCAATGAAGCACTTGAGTCCCCCCCCCCCTTCCCCTCTCCCTTGCCTTGGCAAGGCAATGCATGTGACATGAGGGGGGGGTTGTTTTATTTTATTTTTAATGAGTTTATGATACCTGTCATATTTCATTGAGAAAACTGAAGAATACATAGAATATTTTTAGCAGTGAACATAAAGACACCATAAAATATGGCGTCATATTTCTCAATAGCTCAGTTGCTAATATTATCTTTTGGTATATAACTGTAGCTGGTGCTGTAATGTAGTAAAAGAAACTTCTTTAAGGACCTGGAACATTTTTTGTTTTGAATTAAAATTTTTATTGTATTTCTTGAAGTTAATGGAAAAAGCTAAATTTTGGATAAATATAAAAGAACATAACAAAGTATCGATTTTGGGAAAAGTTGTACAGTATATCCACCAGCAACACAGTTGATCAAAATAGTAGAAATTTCAAAATGGCTGACCCACTAGCATCTTTGTTCAGAGGAATCAAGAGTCTATTATTAGAGCTTATAGTTGTTGTGAGGTGATTAGGTAACCACTGAACTAGCATGTAAAAATTGTGCTAGACCCAGAATGGGGCTTTATAAGGAAGGTTATATTTTACCCTTGAGAAAGTCGTTGACTGACAAAAACGTTCACTAAAGGTGTAATGAGCCTTCGGGGCATTTTTAGGAAAGTAAAGTCTTGTATGTACATAGTCAACCTTTTTCTGTATTTTACTAGCATTGGTCTTGGATGCCCATCCATGTGCATCTTAAACATAAATACAAATTCACCTTATGGTGACACAATTGAATTTTGTTAGTCATACGTTACCAATGTACATTCTTGACTTGTCTTTCAAATCTTTTGTTTAATGTGATGTTTGGTGTAGACAGTTATTTCAGCTGCACTGAATTACTGTCTTACCAGTATCATAGTGTATTATTTCAGGTGGTGTGGAAATACACAGTTATTCTCTGTACAGTATAGCTTACACATGTACCATTTGCTGGGGAGTTGCAGAAGCAGTTTTGTTTTGTACTAATTTTCTAAAGTAAAAGATTCTTTATTTGCTAAAAGTAAAAGTTTAGTAAACATTTACCAAAGTAAAAGTTTAGTTAATAACTTTTAGGAGTGAGTATGCTCCTCATAGCCTGGTGGATAGCACGCAGGACTCGTAATTCTGTGGCGCGGGTTCGATTCCCGCACGAGGCAGAAACAAATGGGCAAAGTTTCTTTCACCCTGAATGCCCCTGTTACCTAGCAGTAAATAGGTACCTGGGTGTTAGTCAGCTGTCACGGGCTGCTTCCTGGGGGTGGAGGCCTGGTCAAGGACCGGGCTGCAGGGACACTAAAGCCCCGAAATCAACTCAAGATAACCTCAAGATATGCTTCTTGATTTTGACTTAATTTTCAATGTTGCATTCTGAGGTTAAAGTGGGTAATAGGGCAATGGTAATAAACTGTGACCTAATTCAGTTGATGCATCTTGCAGCTGGTTTGATCTTGGTTTACTGCTCCTGGATGACCCAGGGGAGGACATCCTCCTACAGACATATACACAAGTTAGTATGATTTTAATGTTTCATAATACTGTATATGTTTATATTATACCATAGAGAAGAATTGTTGGTCTTTATTGCAATACAGTAGTTGAAATGTATGTTAATAAATCTGATGAAATTTAATGTTTACAATTCCAGTGTGCCCCATTAGTGGCAAATATATTTAACTTAATTGAAACACTATGATAGACTTTAGCTGATTGCAAAATAAGAACATTTCTAGAGAGAGCCCCGTCGGCTCCCCGGAGCTTTACCAGGCTGATATGCTAATGTCAGACTTTGGCATCAGTCATGTGTATGGAGTTCTAGGGCCTACCGGGGACCACGGCCAGAACCTGGCCCCCTCAGAGAGGCAAGGGGAGCAATGGCCCATAGAAACCCCCGTGTGGTTGGAAGCATTCCATGTCTGCCATCGACCGGGTCAAGCATCCAAAAAGGTAAGCATTCCAAAACAAACCCCTATTCTGGTGAAAATTGCTACCTAAAGCCGAACTAGTGGACAGAACTCCTCGACAGAAAACAAGCAAACTAGTATGACGTCATACGTCACCGCGCCTCTGTCTGCGCAGCTCCCCCCTTCCCGGGAGGGGGAATGGGGAGACCCAGACCTCCCACGCCGGCTATCCACCCATCAGTTCTTCGGCTGATGCTATAGGCACCGGTTATGTGCTCCGACTCCAGTGGTTGTTTCAGCACTGTACCTAGAGTGTGGTGTCTGTTTTCCAGGTGGTGCGTGAGCCGGGAGTGATTCTTCAGTACTCGGGCTGCATGCGCCTAGGGTTCCCTTCCCTAGGTGCCCTGTAAGTACTGCCCTTGGGGCTTGGGGCCACCTTCCACAAGTTCCTTGGGTCCTGCCCCTGCTAGGCCGTTTACTGCTTGGTTTTCGGCCGTTCTTTGTGTGCTCGGGTGTTCTGTCTCCCTTGTTCGCCTTAGAGTAAGGGGCAGTTTTGCACTGGTGGGGCGCAGGGTACTGTGCAGCTTGTCTTTACCAATCATGGCGGCCGGCTCTGTTCCACTTGGGTACGCTGTCCTCTTGCGGGGTTTTCTTTTTCTTTTTGTTTATCTACCTCGTGGGGGGTCTACCTTCGTTCTTGCCCCTTGTGTCCCTTGTGTTCTGAGTATTTTCTGGTTGTACCCCCTGCTAGGTCCCCGTGAGTGTACACCTTCCGAGGGTTCAGCTCTTAGAAAGTTGTTTGGTAGCTTTGGGCGCCGGTTAGCAGTACCCTGCCTGGGATTACCCGAGCGCAAGTCCTCTTATAGTAAACGATCAGGACCCTGGGAAACCCCTGGGGGCGCGCGGGTCCGATGCATGTGACCCCAGAGTCTCCCCCTTGCTTCCAGCAAGTTTGAGGGTTGCTCTCACCCTTTGTCTCTGGGTGACTCTCTGTTTTGCCTCCGTCTGCTGCCTGTGGAGTTGGTGACACGTTCGACTCGGAGTCCTGTGAGTTTGGTTGCTCGTTGTGGCTCGGTTACCCACTTGTGCTGACTATGCGGGTGCGTAATTACCTAAGTGTAATTACCTAAGTGTAGTTACAGGATGAGAGCTACGCTCGTGGTGTCCCGTCTTCCCAGCACTCTTTGTCATATAACGCTTTGAAACTACTGACGGTCTTGGCCTCCACCACCTTCTCACTTAACTTGTTCCAACCGTCTACCACTCTATTTGCGAAGGTGAATTTTCTTATATTTCTTCGGCATCTGTGTTTAGCTAGTTTAAATCTATAACCTCTTGTTCTTGAAATTCCAGGTCTCGGGAAGTCTTCCCTGTCGATTTTATCAATTCCTGTTACTATTTTGTATGTAGTGATCATATCACCTCTTTTTCTTCTGTCTTCTAGTTTTGGCATATTTAATGCTTCTAACCTCTCCTCGTAGCTCTTGCCCTTCAGTTCTGGGAGCCACTTAGTAGCATGTCTTTGCACCTTTTCCAGTTTGTTGATGTGCTTCTTAAGATATGGGCACCACACAACAGCTGCATATTCTAGCTTTGGCCTAACAAAAGTCATGAACAATTTCTTTAGTATATCGCCATCCATGTATTTAAATGCAATTCTGAAGTTAGAAAGCATAGCATAGGCTCCTTGCACAATATTCTTTATGTGGTCCTCAGGTGATAGTTTTCTATCTAGAACCACTCCTAGATCTCTTTCTTTATCAGAATTCTTTAAAGATTTCTCACATAATATATAGGTTGTGTGGGGTCTATGTTCTCCTATTCCACATTCCATAACATGACATTTATTAACATTAAATTCCATTTGCCAAGTGGTGCTCCATATACTTATTTTGTCCAGGTCTTCTTGAAGGGCATGACAGTCATCTAAAATTCTTATCCTTCCTATTATCTTAGCATCATCAGCAAACATGTTCATATAATTCTGTATACCAACTGGTAGATCATTTATGTACACAATAAACATCACTGGTGCAAAAACTGAACCCTGTGGTACTCCACTTGTGACATTTCTCCATTCCTGTGCACTCCTGTCCTGTGCGTGCAGCAGGGGCGTTGCGCTTTGAGCCTTGGTGGTGGCAACGCTCTCGTGGTTTCCTCCCCGGGAGCCCCGGGGCTGCCCTGTTTTGGTTCGTGTTGGGACTTGGGGGTGTTGGTTGCTTTGGTTCCATCCACGCCCCCTTGTCTTTCCCCTGGATCACCCTTCCTGCCTGCATCCGGTTCCTTACCGTCTGTAGGTTCAGGGTGGGGTTTGATGGTGTTGAGACTCGGGCAGTCTCAGGGAATTCCCCTTCCGGGGTAGTGATGGGGGCATTTGAGCCTGTTCCTCCAGCCGTGTTGTAAGAGTCTGCCAGTGGGCTCCCTTCCTTAGTGTTTTCGCAGCTGCCCCGGTTTTCTGGTACGGCCAGGGCTTTGGGGGGACGGCTCGGCCCCGGGGCCTGTCGTGTAGGTTCCCGGGGCTGGGGAGGGGCTGACTTGGGGGGGCCTTGGCCCCGTAGGACCCCATGGGGTTTTTTTTATCCCCCTCTAGGCGGGGCTCGTAGTTACGCGGAGTGGGGTCTTTCCTCCCCACTCGCCGTACGTGCTGTTGGGCGTCGGCCCCTTCCTGGGCTCGGTTCCTTGGTCTTTGAGTCGGTTGGTTCCGTCCTGTGGGTTGATGTTTCCTCCCACCCTTTTTTTTGGGACAGTGTTTTCGTAATGTTTCTCCGTTCTTGGGGTTCAACGTGACTTCTGGTCTCGGGTGCGCCTGCGCCTTTGTGTGCCTTCGGGACTCGTGTTGGCTTCTGTGTTCTCGAGGGTTTGGGAAGGTTTTCGCTACTTCCTGCGTTATTGGAACGTTTGTCGGCTCCTCGTCCTTGTCGCCGTTTTGGGCTACTTGCGGTTGGGCTGCTTGTGGCCAGTGGCCCGGTTTGGGCTACTTTTGGCCCGGTTTTTCTACTTGAGGGCCGGTTGGGCTACTTGTGGGCCGGTTGGGCTCCTTGTAGCCCTGTTGGGCTGCTTGTAGCCTTGTTGGGCTGCTTGTGGCCCGGTTGGGTACTTTTTTGGGCTCTGTCTTCGCTTTGTTGGCCAGTTTTATTGTTCCTGTTTCCTCTTTTGGCTACTTTTATAGTGCAGTTGTCCTGGTTGGCGTCTTCCCGCAGAGAGGGTTGTGCGGTTTGGCCAGCGTGTCATGCTTATGCACCGTGGAGTTTGTTTTGGTCTTGGCGGTGTGTTTCAGTGCTGGTGTTTGGCGCCTATTTTACTCAAGTGCTTCGCCTCTCGCTCTTCTCCCTTGCTGCAGTATGTGCCCCTTCGCTCTGGGGGTGTCCTGGTTTCCAGTTGTGGGGAGGACACCGAGGTTTTCCCTGTGTCATGGCTGTGGGCCGCCTCCTTCTCCTCTACCCTGCTCTCCTGCGGGTCTGGCGGTGCTCCCAGGTTCTTCTGGGCACGGTTGAGTCGTGTCACGTTCGTGCCACCGTTCGCCAGGTGAGTTTCTGCGGTTTGGCGTCTTTTGGCCGGGCGCTGGATGCAGTGTTGTTTATATACCTGTCTTTATTTAGGTATATTTTTGTACGATTGAGACCGTTCGCACACCTGTGACTGTCCCTTTTTTCAACCCTTCCTGTCCCACTCATGTGCATGTCCTACCCATGCTAGAGTCATTCAGGGGACCCACCTTTTTTCGTGTTATGAGGTGTGGGGGTTGTGGTGTTGGTTCTGTACTCACCTGGTAAGGCTCCTGGCTGTGCTTGCAAGGTTTTGAGCTCTGGCTCTTGGGTCCCGCCTATCTGGTAGAACTTGCGGGATAGTACCAGTGGAGTGCAGTGGTGCTATAGGCACAATTGGGGAACACTGTATAACCATAAGAGGTCTGCGGTTGTTACACGACCTACTTGCGAGCATACGCCATATTGCTGGTACATCCGTGGTCTTCCGGGGCACACTAGCCTGTTTTTGAATCGAAGTTCCGGCCCATCCTGGTTGTGGGGGGTATGTGGGCCTGCGGGCCGCTCCAAGCAGCTGTCTGGTGGGCCTCCCTCTGGCCGGTCTAGCCTGGCCTCAGGCCGGGCTTGGGGTGTAAATGGGCTCCCAGTACCCCATCCAGCAGGTATCGAGCGGGGTTTCTCCGCCGTCGGTCGCCTGGTGTGCAGGTTTCTGGGCCTGCTGGGTTCTGTCGTGTCTCCATTGGCCCTGTTTGGGGTCTGCCTGCTCCGTTCTCTGCCTTTGCAGAAGCGAGTTGCTATTTACATGTTGCGGTGGTGCCTGTAGCTGCTACTGCACGTGTGCATTGGTACCGTGTTTCGCGGTGGTGTGTCCATGTTCCTGTGTCCGGTTGTGGTGTGGCACTTTGCTGCTGTTTTGTGCCTAAAGTTTGCGTATGGGGGTTTGCTTGTTGTTTTTCGTGGCCTTCGGGTCCCTTGTTTGGCCCTCTCATGTGCGTGGGGTTTTTTCTGTCCCTGCCTGATTGTCCACCCCTGGTTGTTTTCCTGTTTTTTTTGTGCTTCTGCTCTTTTGTCCTGCCTCTCCCCAGTCGTTTTCCTGGCATCTCCTTTGGTCGGTTTTGCCTGCACTTGCTGCTATGTTGGGGGGCGTGGTCGGTTTCCATCACTTCATTTCCTTGTGCATTCCCTAGTTTCCTCCTCTGCCGCAGGGGTGTTCTGCGTGTGTTCCTTGGCTGCTTGGGCGTTTTTTCAGCCTGTGTCCTGTGGTGTGCTTCTTTGTCTCGGTCTGTTGCAGTTGCTCGTACCCCTTGGTTCGGGTACTGTTTCTGGCGGCAACCCTTCCGCCTTCTTTGGTTCCTAGCTTGCCCTGCTGGTTGGTTTTTCGGGGTCTTGCGATGTCTCGTGTCAGACCCGTCGTTTCTGAACTCCTTGCGGGCTTGCTTGCTTTGGGGAGTTTTTCTGTTCGGCAGACGTTCCATCTCCTTGTGCCGCCTGGGTTTCGGTGGTCGCGCCCGAGATCTTCTTGCGGCTCCGCCTTTTCCTGGGCTTGGAGGGACCTTGTCGGGGCTGCTTACGTTCTGCCTCGCAGTCTTGCCTCCGGTTGGTGGTCAGGTGGCTTCGTGGTAGGTGTCCCACCTGCGTACTTCTCTTGGCGGCAGTGTGGGGTATTTTGGCGGTCCTTCCTTTTCCTGTCCCTTCTTAGGTGGTTACTCTTGTTAGCGTTGGCTTGGTTTTCTGGTGGGGGTTGGGGGCCGTCGTCTTGCCACATACTGTCGCCTCTTTTCGTGCGGCGCTGGCGGAGCCGCTTTGGCTTGCTTTCGGTCTTGGTGTTGCTTCTGCACCATTAGTAAGCTGTCTCGTGTGTCGTTTCACCTCCGGCCTGTTCGTGCGCCGCTTGCACCATCCTGGTCTCTGGTCAGCGTGCTCTGTCTTCTCTTCGGTTGGTAGTGCCTCTTTGGTTCCGGTTTGTTTTTTCGTCGGCTCTTTTTCCTTTTGGCATTTGGCTCTGGGGGTCGGGTTGCTGAGTTTTCTTGCTCCTTCGGTTTTAGCGTTTTGGTTGTTCGGTGGCAGCAGTCTCCATCGTTTCTGGCGCGGGGTGGGGCTGCTTCGTTCTGGAGGGGTCCATGGTTTGTTGGTGCTTCGTTGGTCGGGCCTGGGGGGGGGGTGTCGTGTTCTGTGTTCTGTGGCGGCCCTCCGCTGTTGTTTGCGTGCCATGGTGTCTGTGTCCGGAGTGCGTTTTGCGTTGATCCGGTTCTGTTCTTCCCGGTTCGCGGGTGATGGTGTCCTGGGTTGTCAGCCGTGTTCTTGCGGCTCAGCGGCCTGTGTTCTTCCCTCATGCCTGTGGCGTTTGTGGCTTCGCTGCTCTCGCTGCCGTCTGGGCGACGTGTCCTAGCAGTCTTTCGGGCATGGATCTTTGGTGTTCATACGGGGGCCTTGCTGCTCATTCTCGTGTTGTTCCCGGGCCTTTTCGGGGCTGTGGCACATTGGGTTGGCGTTTGCTGCCAGTTGTCTCGCTTCTGTGGGGGGTGCGTGGTGTCCGCCTCCCGGTTCCGTCTCTTTGACCTTCCTCTGTGGGTAGTTAGCTCCGGGGACCCGACGGGGCTCCCCCCAGAAAACCATCGTTGAATGCAACGAAACACCATTTTCTAGGTGAAACCCGGAAGCTCCCCGGCAACCCTCCCTCCCTCCGGTCGGCGGTTTTTCGCGTGTTTTGACATCCAGCCTCAGAACTGATGGGTGGATAGCCGGCGTGGGAGGTCTGGGTCTCCCCATTCCCCCTCCCGGGGAGGGGGTGGGAGCTGCGCAGACAGCGGCGCGGTGACGTGTGACGTCATACTAGTTTGCTTGTTTTCTGTTGAGGAGTTCTGTCCTCTAGTTCAGCTTTAGGTAGCAATTTTCACCAGAATAGGGTTTTTTTTTGGGAACGCTTACCTTTCTGGATGCTTGACCTGGTCGATGGCAGACATAGAATGCTTCCAACCACACGGGGGTTTCCAGAGGCCATTGCTCCCCTTGCCTCTCTGAGGGGGCCAGGTTCTGGCCGTGGTCCCCGGTAGGCCCTAGAACTCCATACACATGACTGATGCCAAAGTCTGACATTAGCATATCAGCCTGGTAAAGCTCCGGGGAACCTCCGGGTCTCACCCAGAAAATGGGTTTCATTACATTCAACGCTGGTTTTTTAGGTCTGCTGCATATCCTAAAGTCATAGATTTAACTTATAAAAACAAAATATGTTGAGAAATATCAAAATCAGAGTAAGTTTTTTTGTAGATTCTTTATTTGTAGACTTATGGGAAAGACCAGGGAGTTGGTAAAGCCATAGTGAGAGACATGAGGGATTATATGATAAAATGTATGTTCTTCAACCTGGGCTTTTAGCAGTGCTGGTAATGAAGAACTATATATTCACACTTTTGACTTTATATCACTTGATTCACTGTTGTTTTTAGTCATTGTTCTTACCAGGCATCATAGTGATGGTTATAATTGTTCACTAGGGTCTCTCTCCATGTTCTCACCCTGTGTATTTTGACTGAATTAAGCAAATTTGTCACAGAATTCTCCAGCTTTTTCTTGTCTACTGAATAAACAGAGTTATATTAATAACAAGAAAGCACCCGTGTCTTGGCAACCTGGCTTCTCTTTAGAAATGCAGTTAGGGGCAGTGGGCTTGGTACCTTCTTCCAAGTTGCTTTTCAAACTTCTTTCGTAAACAGTGTTTTGGTGTCATGACACAGCACTCTGATGATTGACAAAATTTTGCATGGTGCAGCATGCCCAGTTTCTGTCCAGAATTTTGGGCTATTCTCATATCTACTATTCTTTCATGTTTGGGTGTCCACCCATGTTTGATCTCTCATTTAGGAAAATTGCTCATGAAGCAGTCATTGTGCTCAGAGCTTCTTGTGTTTGTGTTGGCCCCTACGGTGTTAGTTCATTTTTTTTTGTTTATTTTTTTTTTTTAGGGCGTTCCACATCATATCACATCGACCCTGTGCATTTAATTCGTGGGATAGGAATGGCACAGCTCAAGGTTTCTACTTGAATGCTTCAGGTTTGAGTGCTTTTCCTCCAGGTTTGTCAGCCAAGTGCCTGGATTTCTGTCCTTCTCAAGCTGTAGATTGACTTATGGTCTTCTCTTGTTTAGATACTAGTTTGAGGCTGGTGGTTCTATTTCTTCCTTGTTCTTTATGGGCATACAGGATTTTGACCTACCGTTGCCAGGGAATATGATCCATTCCAGACTCTTATGCTGATTTTAGTCTGTAGTTTAAAGCTTGATCTATTCCTGTCTTTGTGAGGATGTGAGGTATCAGAGATCTAAACCAAGCATCTTCACAAGTGCTCTCATTGACAGTACAAAATTGCCTTGCAATTCTTGTCTTGTAGTGCCATCTAACTTTTCACACAACAACCTCTTTATCACTTACATTATGGTCATCTTTTTGTTGTTCAAGGAAATTAGGCTTACACTACTGTCAATAGGTTTGTATAGGTCAGTGCTCCTGGAGCCATTTCATAAGGTTTTTGTTTTTCTTTCATCAGTGAGATTTTGGGCCTTTTTTTCTGAACTTGAAAGTCTTTCTTTCTTATGGAGAAACTATTGTGACCTGTTCTTCGTTTTTGAATAGGAGACTAATTTGTTTCAGCAGGGTGCATTCTTAGTTTGTTTTCCCTGGATTCATATCTAGCTGCCCTCCAGCATGTGTAATCAGACTGACTGACTGACTGTTAATCCCTTGTCTTAAGTGTCTCAGTTGCTTTGAGCGATGAAGCTTAATTAGCCCAGTGATTATTCCAGGTCACAAGGTTTGTTTGTTTGCCATCCATAAGGTATTCTTTGCAGCAGTGTCTTGCTCAGAGATCCCAGCAAGAAGAATCCAGTGGTCCATTACATTTTTTGAATAGTATATACCAAAAGTTCCCAGCCCTCACTTCCAGCATATGGTTTTAGGTATACTCATTATGTCGTGAACTACATCTCAGGCGGTGGTGGTTCTGGTGCCTTCGTTCCTTGGCCTCCTTCTATTCCTTGCAAACATTCTTCACTCTACTTTGGCATCATGGGTAATTACCATCCTCGTTTTTAGTTTTTTAGTTTCTATGGCTTTGGGGTATTTGTTTCTAATGCTTACTTTAGGGACCAATCATATGCCGATGCAAAAAAATATGGTTTTGAGTTAATGTTAGAGCACTTCTCCAAGCATAATAATATGATTGCTCTTGGTACTGCCAAGTACAATATCTTCTATTTTAAATTGTCATCCACACTCCCGTGGAAATAAACATTTCCTAGAGCCCAGGTGAATGAAATCTCCTATTTTCTCGTGCTAATAGATTTTGTTTAATTTAGGATGAATGAAATGTGGTCTGGATTTGAGAGCCTGGACAAACATTGGTGCTGCTACCTGTTGGTGAATAAAAAGATGGAAGCCTCAATTGACAGTCAATGTGGTGCCAAGTGAGGATTTGGCAGGGCTTTGAAAGTTTATTTGGATAAGATTAACTTTGCATGGCATTGCTCAAAAGCAAATGTTGAACTTGTATAAAGTTAGTAATAAGGCAGTAAGATTACAGGGTGATCAAATATTTTGAAGAAAGAGATTCATGAAGTACTGTTGAAGTGGAGTGAAAAAGGCAAGTATGTAAATGAAAAATATAATTTATGTTATTGAACATTCTCTACTCTCTCTTGGTTTTCAATGAACTAAAATATTGCTACTTACTGATACTTACAGGTAACTCCTGTCCCGCCAGACTTTGTAACCCAGGCCCGGGATTCTACTCCCAGGGATTATGCATTAAAAAATTCTGGCTTTTCAACTACCATCGGTCAAATTGCTAGCCAAAATCTTCAGGTATGTTACTGATGAAACTGTTACACTTTTTTTGGTCGTATGTAGAAAAGTGTTTATTGCATGTTTTTCTCTTTTCCTAACGGTGCATTTTCTCACTACATGACATTATTTAGTAACCCTGTATGTATATGTCATGGTTTATTTTATTTTTATTTAAATTATTTTTCCTGAGACCTCTGTTCAGTATGAGTGCCTCTTTTTCTGATTTCAAACTTGAAGCGCTCATTTGTGTGGAGAGCCCCTTGAACCTCCCAGAGCTATACCAGGCTGATGTGTATATATTAGACTGTGGCAACAGTCAGTTGATAGAGTTCTTAGCCTACTGAGGTCCACGAGCCAGTACCTGGCCCCCTTGGAGAGGCACAAGGAGCAATGGCCTGTAGACACCCCCCATGTAGTTGGAAGCAGTCTATGTCTGCCATCTACCAGGTCAGGCACACAGAAAGGTAGGAATCCCAAAACAAATTACAGCTGGTTAAAAATTGCAAACCGAAAGCCGAATGAGCAGGCAGAACTCCCCAATCAGAAAACAAGCATGACTTCACCACAGCTGCTGTGCCGCTATCTGCACAGCTCCACTCTCCAAGGAGTAGTAGTGTGGTGTGTGAACCAGGTGTAATTCCAGAAGTACTGTACTGCCCTTGCAGTTTGGTGTTACCTTCAACAAACTGTTAGGGGACCACCTAATAGGGGCCTGACAGCTGAGTGGACAGCGCTTTGAATTCGTAATCCTAAGGTTCCCGGTTCGATCCTCAATGGAGGCAGAAACAGATGGGCTGCGTTTCATTTCACCCTGATGTTCATGTTCACCTTGCAGTAAATAGTAACCTGGGAGTTAGACAGCTGCTACGGGCTGCTTCCTGGGGATATGTAACAAAAAGGAGGCCTAGTCGAGGACCAGGTCATGGGGACGCTAAGCCCTGAAATCATCTCAAGATAACTACCTCCACAGGGTTCTTTTGCTGCTTGGTGAAAACCCCAGATGACCCCACCCTTGGGGTCAGCTGGGGGGTTTTCCTACCCCCGTTTGGCCTAGGGTAGACAACAATATCGTCGCTGGCTGGGGCACATGGTACTATGCAGCTGTTTTATAATATGCATAGCGGCCGGTTCTGTTTCTCCTGCTCCTGGAGACGTTGTGCTTTTGCGGGGTGTTTCTTTTCTTTTGTTTAGCCTGGTGGGATCTGCTTGGTGTGGCTGTAGGACCACTTGTATTATTGTGGTGGCCCTTCACTAGGTCCCAGTGATTGCACACGTCACAGGGGTGTTTGCTTCCCTTAAGCAGTCAACCTAAGGGCCCTGGAAACCCCCACTGGGGCTCATTGGTCTGATGGCTGCATCCTCCGAGTCCCATCTCTCTTCATGCGAGTTTGAAGGTTGCTCTGTCTCCTTGTCTCGGGGAGAGACACATCGCTTTTGCCTCCTCCATGCTGCCTGTTGGGCCAATGACACCTTTGACCCGGAGTCCTGCAAGTGGTGTTCCTTGCTTGTACTCCAGTTCACCCAATCCACTGCTATTAATGTTCGGGTGCAGGCAGCTTCCGCATTGCCTGCGAAGTTTAGGTTGCTGTAACTCGCTAGGCTGGTTGCCTTTCTGGATGCCCCATGACTGCATCGCTTGAGCTACAGGGACCCGGACAAGGGGGCATTAGTCGCCTCGACTTTGGTTTCGTCCATGCCCCCTTGTCTTTTCCCTGCTGTAGTTCATCCTGCTCACTTTCACCCCCCCCCCTTTCTGCTCCAGACTCCCAAACGTCTGAGGGTTTCTGAGTCGGGGCAGGGCTTTCTTGGTGGTGACACTCGGGCTGCTGCAGGGAATGCCCCTTCTGGATCGGTGGCAGAGGCATTAGTGCATGTTCCTCCTGCCAGGGCTTTCGGCTCACGCCAGCGGACCCACTACTTCTCTGATTTTCCGGTGGACTCTACCTTTTCTCCAGAGGCAGAGGGTTTGGAAGACAGCTCTGCCCCCGTGTCCTGACGTGGAGGATCCCGGGGCTGGGGAGGAGTTGACTTGGGGGGGCTTGGGCCCTGTTTGACCCTGCTTGAGTGTTGGTACCCTCAGCGTGGGGCTTCTTGTTACAGGGGGAGGGGTTTTCCTATCCCCCACTCCCTGTATGAGTTTGATATGGGATTGGCTCCTCCCCGGGTTTGGTTCCAGTTTCCCTTGCGCTCCTCGGTTCCCTCCTTCCGAAGGTTTTCGGCTTCCCGAATCCCACCTCGGGAGGTGTGGGAGGCCCTTGCGGCTTACCTCCTACAAGGCCCGGATTACACCTCGATAATGGATCCTTCTTTTTGAGTTTGGCTGCTCTTTTCCTTACTGGGTGGGTTATGAGGTGCCAGAGTCTTCCTGACTGGCAGACTGCCCTTTCTTTTCGTTGGGGGCGTTACATGCGTTCTGTCGAACCCGCATGTTTGATTGGCGGGAGTTGACTATGGTCGTTCAGGTTTACTGGGGTGGAGGGGGGTGAAATTGGAGCACTCCAATGCAGCTTCACGTGCAGGTTATCTCCCTTTTGGTGTCTCTGGTCTCTGAGGATTTGTGTGCCCGTGGGTATTTAGCTTCGGTCTTGCACTTCTTTTCCCTGAGCGTCGGTCAGGCTCTCGTAAGGGGCATCGGCCCTTTCACAGTTTGCCCTGTTGACGGGGGCGATTGGGGGGAGGCTTGCGCTGTTTGCTTTTGCCTTGTCCCATGATTCGTGGGCGTTTCGGGTCTTTCCTCTGGCCCTGCGGTAGCGTTGGGTTGCTCCTCCTTCAGGTGGTTCGGAGCTGGCAGGGCAGGCCTCTTCCCCTGCGCTCTGTCGGGTCATCCTGGAGTGGGTACGCTTGGGTGTGGTCGAAACGACGGCATCCCTCAGGTGGGTTTCCCGCCTGTTTCCAGTTCCAAAACACGGGACTGTGCGGATCTGCAGTTCATTCTGGACTTGTCCCTTGGGTCTTTTGCCCCTCCTTTCGGATGACGACTCTGTCCCAAGTCCGACTGCATTTGGAGCGGGGCTCTTGGATGGTGTCCATGGACCTCCGGGATGCATATTGGCATGTCCCAATTCCTCTGGGGTTCAGAGACTGGCTCGGTTTTGTCATGGGGTGGCAAGGTTTCCGGTTTCATTGCCTTCCATTCAGTTTGAATCTGGCACCTCGCATTTTTACATGCCTTACCCGAGTTGTAGTGACCCGTTTGTGTCTGTTAGGGGTTCGGGTTCTGGCTTACCTTGAAGACTGGCTGGTCTGGGCTTCCAACCAGTCTGCGTGTCTGCTTGCCAGGGATTTGGTTCTTTTCCAGCTCGTCAGGTTTTGGTTCTTGGTGAATTGGAGGAAGTCCCATCTGGTTCCCTCTCAGGTTCGGACTTGACTGGATCTTGTGTGGGACTCTCGGACCGCTTTCTTGTCTCTCCCTCCAGCGGCGTTGTTGCAGCTGCAGTCCCGTCTTCGGCTGTTTTCGGGGGGCACACGGGTCACTCGTCGGTTGTTCAAGCAGCTGTACTGGAGTCTGATCTTTGCTGTGCTGGTCTACCCAACGGGTTGGATCTGGCTTGGACAGTTGTTCTGGTTCCTTCGGGATTGTCTTTCCGCTCTTTCCGCTGCTCTTCCGATTGCTAGGTTCAGACTCTGGGGGCCTTGTGTCGGCTGCTGCGTCGCTGGCTTCCTCTTCAGGTTCTTTGGGGTTCAGTGCTCTAGCGCCTACCCGAACCCTTACTCGGTGTGCTCACGGATGCATTGTCTCTCAGCTGAAGTTTTGTGACCAGTGCTCACCAGTCTGGCCAGAGGCAGTTGAGTCCATCCTTCCATCGGCCTCACAGCATGGTGCGGGAGTTCACGGCGATGTGGTTTTTGCTCGGAGGGTTTATGTCACTCGTGGAAAGAGAAACTGGCTCCATTCAGTCTGTTTCCCAGTGGTTCGATGTGGTCTTTGGCTCTTTGAGGCTAGTCGCTTTGGGTGACTCGTCTGCTGAGTTCTTGAGGGTTGGCTCTCCTGGCACTTACTTCATATTCAGGGGGTTTCTAACATCCTGGCGGACAGCCTGTCCTGGTTCATTCCCCTGTCCACAGAATGAACGGTTGACACCGACTCGTTCCATTGGCTCAACTGGATGTTCGGGTGCCTGGAGGTGCACCAAATCATGTCGGCTTGGTCAAGGCATCTTCCAATATATGCATCGCCCTTCCTCGACTACGCGGCCGTCGGGGTCGATGCCTTTCGACTGGACTGGTCGAGGTAGGGTTACCTGTACCTCTTCCCCCCCGGTTTGGTTGTTGCTCAAGGTCCTGGCTCGCTTTGAGACCTACCAGGGAAAAGTTGTCCTCTTGGTGGCCGGCCCAGCCTTGGTTTCAAGCGCTGCTTGCTCCTGTGTTCGAATCCAAGGGTCTTCCCGCGGCTCTGCCTCTTTCGGCAGAATCGGTCCAGTCTGGTACGTGGCTGGTTCGATTTTCTACTCCGATCTTCAAGTCTGGTCTTTTTGACGCGAGTTTATCACCACTTGCATGGCAATGGGGTGGCTCCGTTGTTGGTGTCTCACCTGTGAGTTTCATCTCGGCAGCAGTATGATGTTTCCTGGCAGTCCTTTCGGCATTACTTAACTCTTCATAGGTTGTCATCAATTTCTGATCGGGTTGTTTTGTCCTTTCTCTCTTGGTTGTTTCAGTACTTGTCATCTTAGGCCAAATACTGTTGCATTGTATTGTGAGACGCTGGTGGAGCCACTCCAGCTTGCATTCGGGGTAGATGTTACTTCTGCTCTGTTTCGCAAGCTGTCTTGTGTGTTGTTTCACCTCCGGCCTGCTCATGCACCACCTGAGCCTTCCTGGTTGTTGGACCGGGTGCTCTCTTTTTCTCTCTCCTCTTGTGTTGGCCCCTTCGGTTCTGGACTGTTTTTCTAAGGCTCTTTTCTTGTTGGCATTGGCCTTTATGGGTTAGGTTGGAGATCTTCCTCCTCCGGCGCAGGGGTTTCTGCTTTTTCGGTCTTGTGGTCATTTTGTTCATTTGCAGCCATCTCCTTCTTTTCTGGCAAAGATTGAGCCTGCTGCTTTCCAGAGGGGTCCTTGGGTTGTTAATGCTTGGTTGGTTCAGCTGTGGGTGCATCATGTTTTGTGTCCAGCTGTGGCTCTTCGCCGTTACTTGCACACCACGGCCTCCGTGGCCAGGGACACACTTTGGTTTGATACGAGTTTCCCTTCTTCCCTGTTCCAGGGCACGGGTCACCCAGGTTGTCCGCAGGATTATTAGGTCCAGGCAGCCTGCTGTCTATTCCCGTGCCCACGTCGTTCGTAAGTACACGGCTTTGGCTGCCATTTTTGAGCTGACATTCAGGTATGTGGTTTTTGGAGGTCGAACAGGTTCCTGACCGCACGGTGCCTTGTTAATATTTCTGGCCCATCTCTGGCTTGTGTAGCCTTGGGTTGCAGATTGCAGCCAGTTGTCTCGAATTTTGAGTTGAGAAGCGAGTGGCGGCTGCTTTCATGTTAGTCCCTTCTTTTACTTTATCTTTGGTTAGGTAGCTCTGGGGAGCCAAATGGGCTCTCCACAGAAAACCAGTTTTGGATGTAATGAAACAACATTTTCCGGGTGAAACCCGGAGGCTTCTCGGCAACCCTCCCTCCCTCCCTCCCTCCCTCCCTCTGGTTGGAGGTATTCGCATTTATGATATTCAGCCTCTGAACTGGGATTTGGTGGCTGGCATGGGAGGTCTGGGGTTTCCCCTTCCCTGAAGAGCAGCGCGGCGGCTGTGGTGACGTCATGCATGTTTGCTTGTTTTTTGATTGGGGAGTTCGACTGGGTTAGGCACCCAGAAAGGTAGGCGACCCAAAACAAACACCACGTGGTTTAAAATTGCTACCCGTAAACCATACTATCAAGCAGAACTCCCCAATCCGAAAACAGGCAAACAAGCATGACGTCACAACTGCCGCCGTGCCACTGTCTGCGCAGCTTCCCCCCTCCCCGGGAGAAAGGATGTGGAGCCCCAGACCCCCACACTAGCCCTCCAACCCCAGTTCAGAGGCTGAATATTAAAATATGTGAATACTTCCGACCAGAGGGAGGGAGGGTTGCCGAGGAGCCTCTGGGACTTGCCCAGAAAATGGTGTTTCATTACATTCAACACTGGTTTTCTGTGGAGAGCCCCTCCGGCTCCCTGGAGCTACCTAACCACGGGAAAAGTTACAGAGGGACTTACCCAGGAGGCGGCCACCACTCGTGCCTCCGCTCAAAATTTGAGACAACTGGCTGCACCCTGTGACCCAAAGCAAGACACGCCCGACTAGGGCCAGGAATATTAACACTATCACGTGCGCCATGTGAGCACCGCAGACTCTGACGTCATGGGGCTAATGGTGCGGGCGAACGTGCGGCGATGCCTAAATGTGTATACTCGTTTCAGTTTTCTCACCTTAATTCTTGTGCTACGTTGTTCGTTTTGGTATCATTGTGTTCGCAATTAAATTCCCTGCAGGTGTATATGCATATATTGTCCAAAAGCCTGGCGAGACTCCCCACAGCAAAGCCTAAAGTTGGAAAAGTTACCCGTGAGCGCACAAAATCAGTAAATCGCACCTACTGCAGTAATATGATGTAATGTCTATAAGGGAGCCATAATTTGTAATGCTTTGCCCTAAAATCATAATCTTGTCTATAAATGTCTTCTCTCATCTTCTATTTCTCTACATCATTGTTGGCATTTTGTGTGCCCCTCTTCAACAAGTAATATATAGCCAGAGGATTGGCCTAGAGTTTGAGGTGGTTTTAATGCTATACCTGTATATTTTTTGTTTTAACCTAAAAGGGGTTACACCTCTGGTGCAATTGTAGGAACCCATAGCCTCGGAGACAAAAATAAAGAGTACTCAAAGAAGACCTAGTGGATCCTCACTGAACACTGATATTTTCTTCTCTTACCACCCTTATTCTTTTTGTATGTGCCAGGGAGCCAGGGGAGCCGGTCGGCTGAGCGGACAGCACGCTGGGCTTGTGATCCTGTGGTCCCAGGTTCGATCCTGGGCGCTAGCGAGAAACAATGGGCAGCGTTTCTTTCTCCCTATGCCCCTGTTACCTAGCAGTAAAATAGGTACCTGGGAGTTAGTCAGAAGTCACAGGCTGCTTCCTGGGGGTGGAGGCCTGGTCGAGGACCGGGCCACGGAGACACTAAAGCCCCGAAATCATCTCAAGATAGATCTCAAGATGTGTATATATATATCTCACTTTATTTTATTTAAAATTCTATTACACAAACAGGGTTACAACTGTATATTTGTATTTTCTTAAATTTTGAATTGTTAATGACATGGTTTCAACTTGACAATAGGTGCATCATACAATGTGGCAGGAGACTCTGACAGGTGTATCAAGACGAGAGATGATAGTTCTTGCTGCACGCTCTCTTGCTGGCCTCTACAAATCAAGACTTCCGCATTCTCTTTAATAGTGGTCTCATATTTATTTGGTGCCAAGAAACTAAAGGAATCAAAAGAACTCTCTAATGATAACAGAATATTGCCTTAAATATTTTATTAAACAGAATAGTAAATTTCACTTTGGTGTTTTATAGATAGTTTAAATATTACCATGTTGTGTTTGAGGGAAGTTTGTCTTGATAGTGCATTCAAATTTAAAATACCATTAACTTTTTATATTTTGTAGGAAGTCTTGAATGCTTATTTTGATATACAATAAAGCGTTTTCATTGTTGATCGTGTTGATAGTTTCTGTATACAGGTATTTTTTCATTGTTATACCTTTAAATAAATTCTAAGTAATTTTGTTTATTTTTAATTACGGTAATTCAAGTTTGCAAATACTGTAGTGTGTTTTGTCACCTGCTTACCTGGTCAGGATATAGAAGTTGCTTTTTCTTGACATGTTTTACTGTGTTTACATGATACTAAAAAAATGTTGCATCTCATCCTGGAGGGTGAGTTTATATTTAAATGCATGTTTATTTTACTGTGTTTAAGACATTTGTGCACTTAATGGTGTAATGAGCTATATACAGTACTGTACAGATAGTCATACAGTACTGGCTTTGCACTTTCTCTTGGCAATTAATTAATGCTGTAATGAATGCTTTAATTTTGCTCTAATTTACTAAATGAGTAAAGGCAAATTCAGTATTTGATTACTTAGCATATGAAACAAACATTGAGGCAGCCATTAATGATGCCTTGAATTTTGGCAAAGGTTAATTAATATGAAATTTTCCTGCTTGTATATATAACGATAGTGCAAAACTCTTGGGGTTCATGTTCGACACCCTCCTATCTTGAGTGTGTCTTGTCCATTACAGTACCTGTGTACTGAATGCATTTTATCTTATTTAGTCTTGTCCAAAACATACAAGTGGTTGGGCACCATTCTGTCCCCCCTCTCCTTTCCCAAATCCTTTTTCTCATTCCTTCCAAGTGCTATACAGTAGTTCTATTGTCTTTATGCTTTCTCCTGATAATTACCTTACTTGGGGTTCCAGCTCTCCTTAGTGCTCCCTCCAGTAATGTAGCAGATGCTGTTGCTAATGTAATCATACCTGTTGCATCTCCTGGAAGCAAATTCCTTAGATGGATTTTCCACCCAATCATTCGTAACACGATCTACAATCTTTAACGAAATACAGTAGATGGTTAGCTGTCATGCATATCAAATGTACAAAATCAAATATGAATACTTCCTATGGCTTTTTTCCTACTGTCATTGAAATTAGAAGTGGGGAAATTCCTCTGACTAGGTTCTGTATTAGCCATACAAAATTAACTGAGCTCTTAATGGAGTCAAGATCTACACCTTGTTGTCAGAACTGCATTGTTCTGCTAAGTCACTCACCTCCTTGTAAAATGTCGTTATTTTCAGGATCAGAAATTGTTGCTTTTTCACTGTTCCTTTCAGTTCCATGACCCTTGATAATCCTTGGTGAATCTGACTTCTTTGGCATTGCTTATCTTGTCTTTCTGCTCTTGTATCTGCACCCCAAACAATATTGTGAACTCTTGAATATTGTATTTTTATTTTTTATATAATTACTCTTAACTTTCATCTGACTTCAGTGTGCAGGTGACAACACTATTTAATTAAGCATGATGTTTGTGTAGCTCTTGATTTTAATGACAAAGCTTGTAATCTCATTAATTTATTAACTTTATACATGGTTTATGCTATTAAATAGCAGATTCTTATAATTATAAGATATAGATAATTAGAATTTTGTACAAGTTATTTAGATGTTTTGTTAAGAATTACCCGGTATATAAATTTATAGCTGATGAATAAGAAAAAATTCTTGCATGTTAGGACTCATAGACAAACAAAAAATGAATTGACTTTAAAATAATTTTTCACCATTTTATTTAGTTGTACAGTAATGATGCCTTGAGCCTTGCAATATTTCTTTTAATTAGAGAACTGTTACAGTGCAAGCAGATAAGAATGTATGGATTATATACAGACACACACACACACACACACATATATACGCTAGAATATGCAGCTGTTGTGTGGTGCCCATATCTTAAGAAGCACATCAACAAACTGGAAAAGGTGCAAAGACATGCTACTAAGTGGCTCCCAGAACTGAAGGGCAAGAGCTACGAGGAGAGGTTAGAAGCATTAAATATGCCAAAACTAGAAGACAGAAGAAAAAGAGGTGATATGATCACTACATACAAAATAGTAACAGGAATTGACAAAATCGACAGGGAAGACTTCCTGAGACCTGGAACTTCAAGAACAAGAGGTCATAGATTTAAACTAGCTAAACACAGATGCCGAAGAAATATAAGAAAATTCACCTTCGCAAATAGAGTGGTAGACGGTTGGAACAAGTTAAGTGAGAAGGTGGTGGAGGCCAAGACCGTCAGTAGTTTCAAAGCGTTATATGACAAAGAGTGCTGGGAAGACGGGACACCACGAGCGTAGCTCTCATCCTGTAACTACACTTAGGTAATTACACTTAGGTAATTACACACACATTATCAGTAACCTGTTTCCCACTTCCATGCATTGGTGATGGGCTGCACATAATAAATGTTTCAAGTATTATTGGTTATTGGCAGTATAAAAAAAAAAATTCAGTGGGTGTCAGCAGTTGTTTAAGTTATTTGTATTGCTAATTCCTCAGTCTTTTAAAGAAATATGATGTAACTGATATATGAAGATAACAGAGAAGACACGTGTATTCTCATATCCAGAGAATACACACACTGTTGAGTAACTTGTGCTTCACTCATCATACAAAATATTAGCTCTTAAAAAGATTAATTTATGTAGATATATATAAATATACTTTTTTTGTATACAGATTTCAATATACTGGATATATTAGGCAGTTAATTATTCATCTTTTCTCTACATACTATTTTTTCTAAGTACAAAAGAATACAGTACTGTTTGTGGATTTTTTGCTTTTTTTTAATATATCCTAAATTTTATCATTACAATTTGTTCGTCAATTAGAAGTTGTGTGTGAAGCAGCACTGTTGACACTCCAGTGTTGTTGGCTCACCTGCCAACACTGGCAAGGAAGCCATGATGTTAGCCTCACTATTAGGTTACATGCACCACTAAATATATATCCAGCAAGTAATATGAAATACCAAGTATAACCCATAATAGGTGTGTATAGTAATTATTTATTTTTTATATGCATTGCCTATGGAAATGTTTATTTGTATTTCCTGTTACAGTACTGTATTCTTTAGTCTAAAAAATGCTATAATTATATTTCACAGGCTCTATTTTTTTAGTTTTAATATATTTCATTGTAAAATAAAGTTTTTTGTCAAATAGAATATTGTTTAAATTGTATTGAAAATACGAAATTCCCTCTTAAAATTCACATTGTACATAACTCTTTTTTTTGTAATTTTGAGTTTTATGTCTTGTCTTTCCTTTACCAACTCTGCCTTGCCCATAAATTAAAATATTAATAATTTCTTTCGGTCTTTAAAGCTCATTGGCACATACATTTTGTAAATGATTCTCATACTGGCTTGGTATCTTTTTCTAATACTGTACTGTAATTAATTCTTCTCCTGGCAACACCTTTGTTCCTCTTCAGTTCTATACACATTTAAACTTATTCACATTTCATTTTTGTAGTGTTTTTCCAAAGTTTTTGTTAAATTTTAATTTTTTGCCTATTATGTTTGATGGATCACAACACTGCTCTGGTGTGGTGATGAGTGTTTTGATACAAGGTGAGAGTTATCAAGGCCAATGTTCAATATTCAAAATGTACATCTTTGTTTTAAATTTATGTTAAAACGTATTAAATTTAAAAATGTTGTTTTTAAATATCTAGTTAAAAACAGGCTTTAGCATATGTATAATTAATAAATAATTAACATAAATATTAAATTACTAACCCATTTTAAGTGACTATAACAATTAGTATAAATTATGAACTAAATACAGTACTGTGCTATATATGTAAAAACAGGTACTGTACTCTTAGAGCAACACTCCAGTTGTTAATGGATGTCACATTACACTAAGAATAATTATTTATTTAATAAAGGTACCTATACAGTACAGTACCTATTTACATAATTTAAAAATTAAAATTATTTTAATACAGTAGTGTGAATAAAATGATTAAATAACTATTTTGTTCGTTTTTTATTTTTTTACATACAAATTTTAACAATTATGGGTTTTATTAATCTTTCTAATTTTTTTTACAAGTTCTAGTAAATATTTTATACAGTGCAGTCCTACTATTTGTTTAACAATATTCTCATCTAAACCTTCATAATCAAACTACTATTCTCTGGTATTCTGTATAATTTTCTTTTCTGGGGGAGCCCCTACGGCTCCCCGGAGCAATCCAGGCTGATATGCTAATGTCAGACTTTGGCATTAGTCATGTGTATGGAGTTCTTTGGGTCTACCGGGGACCACGGCCAGAACCTGGCGCCCTCAGAGAGGCAAGGGGAGCAATGGCCTAGAGAAGCCCCCGTGTGGTTGGAAGCATTATATGTCTGCTATCGACCGGGTCAGGCATCCAGAAAGGTAAGCATCCCAAAACAAACCCCTATTCTGGTGAAAATATTGTTACCAAAAGCTGAACAAGTGGATAGAACTCCCTAAACAAAAACGAGCAAGCTAGTGTGACGTCACCCGTTGCCACGGCGCCGTCTGCGCAGCTCCCCCCTCCCTGGGAGGGAGAAGGCGGAGCCCCAGACCTACCATGCCGGCGATCCACACCCCAGTTCTTGAGGCTGATGCTATAGGCAGCAGTTGTGTGCTCTGGCTCCAGACTTTTACAGCGCTGTACCTTGTGTTTGGCGGCTGTTCTCCAGGGGTGCAAGAGCCAGGAGTTACTCTTCAGTACTCAGGCTGCATGTGCCTAGGGTTCCCTTCCCTAGGTGCCCTGTAAGTACTGCCCTTGGAGCTTGGGGTTACCTTCCACATGTTCCTTGGGATCTGCCTCTGTAGGTCCGTTTAACTGCTCGGTTTTCAGCCCCCCCTTTGAGTACTTGGGTGTTTTGTCTCCCTAATTTACCTTAGGGTAGAAGGCAGTTTTGCACTGGTAAGGGGTGCATGGTGCTGTGCAGCTTGTCGTCACCAATCACAGCAGCCGGCTCTGTTCCTTGGGGTATGTTGTCCTCTTACAGGGTTTTGTTTTTCTTTTTCTTTTTGCCTTGGTGGGGGGTTCTGCCCCTTACTTGCCACTGGTGTTTGGTTTCATCCTGATACTTGGTGGTGGCCCCTGCTAGATCCCCGTGAGCGTACACGTTGCTGGGGTTCAGCTGTAGACAGTTTGTTCGGTAGTTCTAGGCCCCGGTTAGCAGTTCCCAGCCTGGGTTTACCCGAGTGCGAGTCCTCTTATAGTAAACACTCAGGACCCTGGGAATCCCCTAGAGAATGCGTGGGTTCGATGGATGCGGCCCTGGAGTCTCCCCTCGCTTCATGCGAGTTTGAAGGTTGTTCAGTTCCCTTGTCTCAGGGCGACCCTTACGGTTTTTGCCTCCGTCACGCTGCCTGTTGGGTCGGTGACACTTTCGACTCCGAGTCCTGCAAGTTTTGTCGCTGGTGACTCAATTTACACAATCTGCGGATGATCTTCGGGTACAGGCTGCACACGCGTTTCATTCTAGGTTTCGTTTGTTGCAATGCGCTCAGTTGGTTGCTCACCCGGATGCCCTGCAGCTGTCCCGTTTTACTTATAGGGACCCGGACTTGGGGGTGGGGGTCGCCTCGACCCTGGTTCAGTCCACACCTCGTCCTTCCCTCTCCTGTTGTTCGTTCTGGTCCCCCTCCCCTGCTTCCAGCCCCGAACCGTCTGAGAGTTTCAGAGTCGGGGCAAGGGTTAGTTGGTCTTGAGACTTGGGTAGCCTCGGGGAATGCCCCTTTCGGTGTGGCGACAGAGGCATTCGAGTCTACTCCCCCGGCCAAAGCCTCTGGGTCTGACCAGTGGGCCTCCTCCTGTCCAGCTTCTACGACTGCGCCGGCCTTGTCTGGTGGGGTCGGTGCTTGGGGGGACGACTCTGCCTCGGGTCCTGCAGAGGAGGATTGCCTAATATACAGAACTTAGAGACAAGAATGTGCAGGACATAATGGATTTTGTCACCCAGAAGTGCCAGGAAGCTGCAGACAGGAGTATCCCCGTCCACAAGGAGAAAAACGAAAAACAACAGAAAAGCCCATGGTTCAACCAGGAAAGCAAGGTAGCAAAGCAACTGAGTAAAAGATGATGGAGAAACTACAGAAATAACAGAACACCGGAGAGCAGGGAGAGATACCAGAGGGCCAGAAATGAGTACCTCAGAGTGAGGAGGGAAGCAGAGAGACAGTTTGAAAATGACATTGCGAGTAAAGCCAAGACCCAACCAAAGCTGCTCCACTGCCACATCAGGAGGAAAACAGCAGTGAAGGAACAAGTGATGGAACTGAGAAAAGGGGAGAACAGATACACAGAGAATGACAAGGAGGTGTGTGAAGAACTCAACAAAAGATTCCAGGAGGTCTTCACAATAGAACAAGGAGAAGCCCCTGCACTAAATGAGGAGGAGGCAAACCAAGGAGGTAACCTTGGAGGAATTTGACCTCACCAGTGATGAGGTCAAAAGTTGTCTGCTGCAGCTGGATGTGACAAAGGCTGTTGGGCCTGACAGAATCTCACCATGGATACTAAAGAAAGGTGCAGAAGCACTAGGTGTGCCACTCTCTATGGTGTATAACAGGTCACTGGAAACAGGAGACTTACCAGAGAGTTGGAAGACAGCTAACGTAGTCTCAATATACAAGACGGGTGACAGGCAAAAGGCACTGAACTACAGGCCAGTTTCCCTAACTTGTAGACCATGCAAGGTGATGGAGAAGATCATGAGGAAAAGGCTCGTAGAGAATCTGGAGGGAAATAACTTTGTAACGCACCACCAACATGGGTTCAGGGATGGTAAATCGTACCTCACAGGTTTAATAGAATTCTATGGCCAGGCAACAAAAATTAGGCAAAAAAGAGAAGGGTGGGCCGACTGCATTTTTTGGGACTGCCAGAAAGCCTTTGACACAGTACCCTATGAAAGGCTGTTAAAAGAGTTGGAGCAACAGGCAGGAGTAAAAGGGAAAGCCCTCCAGTGGATAAGGGAGTACTTAAGCAACAGGAAACAGCGAGTAACGGTGAGGGGGAAGACATCAGAGTGGCGAGATGTCACCAGCGGAGTCCCAAAGGGCTCAGTACTTGGCCCCATCCTGTTTCTAATATATGTAAACGATCTTCCGGAGGGTATAGACCCGTTTCTCTCAATGTTTGCTGATGATGCAAAAATTATGAGAAGAATCAAGACAGATGAAGATAGACAGAGACTACAGGATGACCTGGACAAACTGGAGGAATGGTCTAGAAAATGGCTGCTAAAGTTCAACTCGGGAAAGTGTAAGGTAATGAAATTAGGCGAAGGGAGCAGGAGGCTGAACACAAGGTATCATCTGGGAGGTGAAATCCTGCAAGAGTCAAATAGAGAGAAAGATCTGGGGGTTGATATCACACCGAACCTGTCCCCAGAGGCCCACATCAAAAGAATATCATCAGCGGCATATGCTAGACTGGCCAACACAAGAACTGCCTTTAGAAACTTGTGTAAGGAATCATTCAGAACCCTGTATACCACTTATGTAAGACCAATCCTGGAGTATGCAGCTTTAGCCTGGAGTCTATACCTAGTTAAACACAAGACAAAGTTAGAGAAGATTCAGCGGTATGCCATCAGGCTCGTCCCGGAACTGAGAGGAATGAGCTACGAGGAAAGGCTAAAGGAGCTGAACCTCACATCCCTGGAAAACAGAAGAGTAAGGGGAGACATGATAACCACCTAAAAAAAAATTCTCAGGGAAATTGACAGGGTGGACAAAGACAAACTCTTCAGGACGGGTGGGATACGAACAAGGGGACACAGGTGGAATCTTAGTACCCAGATGAACCACAGAGACGTTAGAAAGAATTTTTTCAGTGTCAGAGTAGTTAATAAATGGAATGCACTAGGAAGTGATGTGGTGTAGGCTGACTCCATACATAGTTTAAAATGTAGATATGATAGAGCCCATGCGGTAGGCTCAGGAATCTGTATACCAGTCGATTGACAGTTGAGAGGCTGGACCAAAGAGCCAAAGCTCAAACCCTGCAAGCACAATTAGGTGAGTACACCCCAAGAAGCAGCCTGTTCCATCCACCTCTCTTAGTGTTCTTCCATCCACCTCTCCTAGTGGAGGAAACTGAGGTGTAGTCACCGAATATAACCAAGCGAATTGCGAATAGTGGACAGTACAATTTCCAGTCAAGAATGTAGCACTTGACGTATTTATTTATTTATTTATTTATTTATTTATTTATGCATATATAAGAATGCACATTGGGATTGTGAGGATACATAATGTGGTAATTACAATCTTGTAAAGCCACTAGTACGCGCAGCGTTTCAGGCAGGTCCTTAATCTAAGAAAATTTTAAGTAGGTAAATACTTGCAAAATTTATAAAAAAAATTGATAACAGTTACAAGGCAAGAAAAAAAAGAAATTGAGATTGTACCTACAAGAAAAATTGTAGGTATATTAAAGCACATAGGTAGCTCAGATTGATTGCAATGACAGCTTGAATGGTAGTTGACAAAAATTTGTAGGCACAATACAGCATATGCCTAACACATAAAAGAAGACAGCAATGAACACAATGATAAAGTTGTTTGGGTTAAGTACATAAAGATTGGGAGATTGGGTAACACTAGGTACAGAGCAAATTTAAAGCTCAGTGTAGGAAACTAAGAAGATGAAATTAGGTACGTTTTGGTTTTGCTTTTAAATAAGGCAAAAGTTTGACAGCTTTTCAATTCACTAGGGAGTGAGCTCCATAGACTAGGTCCCTTAATTTGCATAGTGTTTACACAGATTAAGTTTGACCCTGGGGATATCAAAGAGATATTTATTTCTGGTGTGGTGATAATGTGTCCTATTACATCTGTCCAGGGAGAGTTTCAGAGCATGGTTTGCATTTAAAAACAGGGTTTTGTAGATGTAGTTGACACAAGAGAATGTGTGAAGGGAGTTAATATTTAGCAAGTTTAGGGATTTAAACAAGGGAGCTGAGTGTTGTCTGAAAGCAGAGTTAGTTATTATTCTGATAGCAGATTTTTGCTGGGTGATAATGGGCTTAAGGTGGTTTGCAGTGGTAGACCCCCATGCACAGATACCATAATTAAGATAGGGGTAGATTAGTGCATAATATAGTGAGATGAGAGCAGAGTTAGGAACATAATATCTTATTTTAGAGAGTATACCAACTGTCTTAGAGATTTTCTTAGTTATGTGTTAAATGTGGGTGCTGAAGTTGAGTCTCTTGTCTAGGAATAGGCCAAGAAACTTGCCATCATTTTTATTACTGATGTTAATGTTGTCTATCTGTAGCTGAATTGCATTTGATGATTTGCTTCCAAATAAGATGTAGTAAGTCTTTTCTATGTTTAATGTTAGTTGCAGTTCGTATGCAGTTCTAATCGACCCAAGATGCTACAGCTTCGACACAGAACAGACAGCAGACTAGGACCGCATCCAGCTACAACGCTCTCCCACATAGAGCTCTGCGACTCCGGAATCACTCAGCTCTCTGCTCTGCTCCAAGCTCTGTCTCAACGTCTACAACACTACTGTATCCAGGACTACTAAATAAATATGAAAACCCACTAAATACTGTGTATCTAATCTACTCAACAACGTGACATAATCGTACGTTACAGACTAAAAACATTGTAGGGTCTGTGGCCTGAAGATATTGTAGTATGTGGCCTGAAGACATTGTAGGGTCTGTGGCCTGAAGACATTGTAGGGTCTGTGGCCTGAAGACATTGTAGGGTCTGTGGCTTGAAGACATTGTAGGGTCTGTGGCTTGAAGACATTGTAGGGTCTGTGGCCTGAAGACATTGTAGGGTCTGTGGCTTGAAGACATTGTAGGGTCTGTGGCCTGAAGATATTGTAGTATGTGGCCTGAAGACATTGTAGGGTCTGTGGCCTGAAGACATTGTAGGGTCTGTGGCCTGAAGACATTGTAGGGTCTGTGGCCTGAAGACATTGTAGGGTCTGTGGCCTGAAGACATTGTAGGGTCTGTGGCCTGAAGCCATTGTAGGGTCTGTGGCTTGAAGACATTGTAGGGTCTGTGGCTTGAAGACATTGTAGGGTCTGTGGCCTGAAGACATTGTAGGGTCTGTGGCTTGAAGACATTGTAGGGTCTGTGGTCTGAAGACATTGTAGGGTCTGTGGTTTGAAGACATTGTAGGGTCTGTGGTCTGAAGACATTGTAAGGTCTGTGGTCTGAAGACATTGTAGGGTCTGTGGCCTGAAAACAGTGTTAGGTTTGTGGCCTGAAGCGTTTGTAGGGTCTGTGGCCTAAAGAGATTGTAGGGTCTGTGGCCTGAAGGGATGGTTACCTTGAGGTTACCTTGAGGTGCTTCGGGGCTTAGCGTCCCCGCGGCCCGGTCCTCGACCAGGCCTCCTGGTTGCTGGACTGATCAACCAGGCTGTTGGACGCGGCTGCTCGCAGCCTGACGTATGAGTCACAGCCTGGTTGATCAGGTATCATTTGGAGGTGCTTATCCAGTTCTCTCTTGAACACTGTGAGGGGTCTGCCAGTTATGCCCCTTATGTGTAGTGGAAGCGTGTTGAACAGTCTCGGACCTCTGATGTTGATAGAGTTCTCTCTCAGAGTACCTGTTGCACCTCCGCTTTTCAACGGGGGTATTCTGCACATCCTGCCATGTCTTCTGGTCTCATGTGATGTTATTTCTATGTGCAGGTTTGAGACCAGCCCCTCTAATATTTTTCACGTGTAAATTATTATGTATCTCTCCCGCCTGCGCTCAAGGGAGTACAGATTTAGGCTCTTTAGTCAGTCCCAATAGTTTAGGTGTTTTACTGAGTGGATTCTAGCAGTAAAGGATCTCTGCACGCTCTCCAGGTCAGCAATTTCTCCAGCTTTGAAAGGGGCTGTCATTGTGCAGCAGTACTCCACTCTAGAGAGCACAAGCGTTTTGAAAAGTGTCATCGTCGGTATAGCATCTCTAGTGTGAAAATTTCTTGTTATCCAACCTGTCATTTTTCTTGCAGTTGTGGCGGCTACTTTATTGTGTTCTTTAAAGGTAAGGTCTTCCGACATGAGTACACCCAGATCCTTTACATTGCCCTTTCGTTCTATGTTATAATTTGCCTGAGTTTTGTACGTGGTTTCCGTTTTTATATTTTCATTTTTTCCATAGCGCATGAGCTGAAACTTATCTTCGTTAAACACCATATTATTTTCTGTAGCCCATAGAAAGACCTGATCTACATCTGACTGGAGGTTTGCCGTGTCCTCTATGTTGCCTACTCTCATGAAGATCCTAGTGTCATCTGCAAAGGATGATACAGTGCTATAGGTTGTGTTCTTGTCTATGTCTAATATGAGGATGAGAAAAAGTACTGGAGCAAGCACAGTACCTTGGGGGACTGAGCTCTTCACGGTTGATGGGCTGGATTTTATTTTGTTGACTATTACACATTGGGTTCTGTTGGTCAGGAAATTGTAGATCCATCTGCCTATTTTTCTGGTAATTCCTTTTGAACGCATTTTATGTGCAATAACGCCATGGTCACATTTATCAAAAGCTTTTGCGAAATCTGTGTAAATTACATCAGCGTTTTGTTTGTCTTCCATAGCATCTAATGCCATATCATAGTGGTCCAGCAACTGCGACAGGCAAGAGCGCCCTGTTCTGAAACCATGTTGTCCGGGGTTATGGAGATGCTGTGATTCCATGTATTTTGTGATCTTACTTCTTAGCACTCTCTCAAAATTTTTTATGATGTGCGATGTTAGTGCTATCGGTCTGTAATTTTTTGCCTCTGCCTTATTTCCTCTTTTATGGAGTGGTGCTATCTCTGCTGTTTTTAGTATGTCAGGAATAACGCCAGTATCTAGGCTTTGTTTTCACAGAATGTGGAGGGCCTGCGATAGTGGTTTTTTACAGTTCTTGATGAATATGGAGTTCCAAGAATCCGGGCCTGATGCAGAGTGCATAGGCATACTGTTTATGGCTTCTTTATGTCCTTCTTCAAAATCCAGTGGGGATAGGGTGACGTCTGTAGATTTGTAGGGATTGTAGGGTCTTTGACCTTAAGATATTGTAGGGTCTGTGGTCTGAAGACATTGTAGGGTCTGGGGCCTGAAAACATTGTAGGGTCTGTGGCCTGAAGACATTGTAGGGTCTGTGGCCTGAAGACATTGTAGGGTCTGAGGCCTGAAGATATTGTAGGGTCTGTGGTCTGAAGACATTGAAGGGTCTGTGACCTGAAAACATTGTAGAGTTTGTGGCCTGAAAAGTTTGTAGGGTCTGTGGCCTGAAAACATTGTAGAGTTTGTGGCCTGAAAAGTTTGTAGGGTCTGTGGCCTGAAAAGATTGTAGGGTCTGTGGCCTGACGCGATTGTCTAGGGTCTGTGGCCTGAAGAGATTGTAGGGTCTGTGGCCTTAAGATATTGTAAGGTCTGTTGCTTGAAGACATTGTAGGGTCTGTGGCCTGAAGACATTGTAGGGCCTGTGGCCTGAAGACATTTTAGGGTCTGTGGCCTGAAGACATTGTAGGGTCTGTGGCCTGAAGACATTTTAGAGTCTGTGGCCTGAAGAGATTGTAGGGTCTGTGGCCTTAAGATATTGTAAGGTCTGTTGCTTGAAGACATTGTAGGGTCTGTGGCCTGAAGACATTGTAGGGTCTGTGGCCTGAAGACATTTTAGGGTCTGTGGCCTGAAGACATTGTAGGGTCTGTGGCCTGAAGACATTGTAGGGTCTGTGGCCTGAAGACATTTTAGAGTCTGTGGCCTGAAGAGATTGTAGGGTCTGTGGCTTGAAGATATTGTAGGGACTGTGGCTTGAAGATATTGTAGGGACTGTGGCTTGAAGAGATTGTAAGGTCTGTTGCTTGAAGAGATTTTTTTATTTATATATACAAGAGTTATTACATTCTTGTATAGCCACTAGTACGTGTAGTGTTTTGGGCAAGTCCTTAATCCTATGGTCCCTGGAATACGATCCCGCGAAGAACCGTTTTCACACCCAAGTACTCATTTTACTGTTGAGTTAAACAGAAGCTACAGTTAAGAATTTGCGCCCAGTAAATCCTCCCAGGTCAGGATACGAACCCAGGACAAATCGTTCGAACAACGCCACGCGAGCGTCTTACCACTACGCCACGGAGATGGTAGAGTCTGTGGCCTGAAGAGGTTGTAGTGCCTGTTGCCTGAAATGACTAGGGATGCCATCCCGCAGCTATTTCCCGTTATCTGTGATCCGGAGCGTATCCGACCCCTCGCTGGTCGTCGTAGCTCCTCGACCAACAACAACATGGCCGGGTGGGCGAGGACGTGGGTCAGGTCTCTCTCTCGCTTCTCTTATTGGAGGTAATGAAGTATCATCCCTGTTGCACCTTACTGATGATATTTATGTTGATAACTACCAATATAGTGTACAGAGGCTTGTTGACAGTTTGTGCTATTAGTAATTTCTGGCTAGACGATGCAGTGGTGGTTCTGGCGAGCCTCTAGGGTCTGGTCCTTGTGTCAGTTACAACATATATTTCCAGCTGTCGGGGACATGAAGCCTGTATTTAGGCTCCTCTAGATCACCCTAGGTCTACTACTGACCTTTCCCATGATGCATCCCACAACAGTTGCCAAAACCCTGGGTACCTGTAGTGCCATTAACTGAGACATCAAGTGAATAGAAACACGCCTATCCATCATTGTCCCACAGGTTATGAGTTACAGCTCTTGGGTCCCGACACTAACTGACTATTTATAGGTTCCAGAGCTTATTGAATTCTTGTGTAATAACCTAAATGTAGTTACAGGACGAGAGCTACGCTTGTGGTGTCTCGTCTTCCCAGTACTCTTTGTTATATAACATTTTGAAACTTGACAGTTTTGACCTGAAGAGATTGTAGGGGCTAAGTGACACCACCACCACCTCACTTAGCTTCTTCCAACCGTCTATCACTCTGTTTGCAAAAGTGAATTTTCTTATATTTCTTCAACATGTAAAGTTTATGTCGTCTACATTTAAAGTTTTGTATGGAGTTGGGGACCACAACTTTGCTTCTTTCTGTATTCCATTTTCTCTGTTCTGATACTGGACAGAGAAAATATATAATTTCTTTGGCTAATTTACATATGTTTTCCAACAGTGTTTCCTTGTTTGTGTACTTTCCCTGCTAAATGTGTGTCTTTGTCTGCCCTGTCTTTCCCCTGATTTTTTTATATGCAATGATCATGTCTATCATGTTTATTTCCAGTTACGTGAGGCTTAATTCCATTAGTCTTGTTCATATCTCTATTAAAGGACTAGTCTGGTGGCATACTTATGAACTTCTCCAGCTGTTATGAATTTGCTTACTGTTATGGGGGGTATGGCGTATTAAAGAGAAGGGCCAACAGCTAGAATCAGGATGTATCAAAATTAGTGGAGATCAGATAGGCCCGGCCCCCAATAAGAACATAAAACAATATTAAATTAGTGGCTTAAAGTAAATACGTCAATCTAGAAGATGATCACTGATCCCCTACACAAGAAGAATGGATACTCCTTTAATATTACTTCAAAATCAAAAAATCAAAATCAAAATGTTTATTTAGGTAAGGTACATACATAAAAGAGATTTTACAAAGAGTGATGGATTTATAGTTAGGGCTAGTACATACAATGCCTAAAGCCACTATTACGCAAAGCGTTTCGGGCATAAAAAACTTAAATGACTAAAGCTTAATACTAATTGAGCATAAAGAGTAAAATGAAAACATGGAATGAAAACATAGCTGAAAAAGCAGCACAAATACAATTCTGTCGACAAACAGTGCTCTTTAAAAAAAACAGCCATTGGATGACATTAGAGGGGTAAGGTTGGTTACAGGGAATTTATTAGGTATAGCTTTGTTTTTATCTTAAACTGGTTGAGAGAGGTACAGTCTTTAACATGGTTGGGAAGGTCATTCCACAATCTGGGTCCCTTGATTTGTAGAGCATTTCTAGTTTGATTAAGTCGAATTAAGACTTATTTTATTTGATTAAGTTGTATTAAGACTTATTTATTAACCCCACTAACAACCCCAAATATACATTACTATCATAACAATAACTACCTTACCACACTATCTTACGTTAACTACCTTGGTCCACATAGACAGGATACAAGGCTTACACTTGGGACAAGCTAGGGTAAAGTCTACTTGAAAAGAAACTCTAAGGCTTGAAGCAGCCTGTCTGGGAGCACACACTCCAGGCAACAATATATCTTGGATAAGTAGCACAACATTGTCGCTTGGATCATCGACTTTCTATGTCATCACCTGCTACTTAGTTTCATCTAATTTCATTATAAAATTATATTATTTCAAAGTAAAAATGTTTTTTCATGTTATACATTCAGCACCAACATTATTGTGAATAAATATATCATATTTCTTCATTACTTACTTAATGCTAGGAGGCTTTGGCTTAGCCCTTAAACCGCGCAATACATATATAGATGATTTCAGTAACAAAACCGAAACCGTGCAATGTAGATGATTTCAGTGACAAAACCGAAACCGCGCAATACACATATAGATGATTTCAGTAACAAAACCGAAACCGCGCAATACATTAATAGCTGTTTTCGTGTCTAGCTCTACAATTTAAATGCCCAGCGTGGGATAGGGGTAGTCATTGGCGAGCCGCACCCGACCATAAACAAACGCCACCTGGAAAAAAAATCCCGCGTAGGCCGGCATTGTGTAGAGGCCTCAGTTACCCAGCGGACACCATGTTGAGCGCATCAAGTTCCAACTACCCCGCTCAACGAAGCATTCCTCGCGACCTCTGACCAAGGATGAAATTAATAAGAATTTGTTCCCGGATGGTGATGAATCTGATATTAACAACTCGGACTTTGATCATGACTACACAGCCCTCAGAGGTGGATATGACCGACAACGAGTGTGAACATGCTGGCTCCACCAGGGCTAGAGCCTACTTTTTTTATTACACTGATTCAAGTGTAATCAGTGTAGTTACACTGATTACACTTATTTTATTACAGCCCTCACTCGACTCCACTTCGTGCCAGACCCCACAGCTCCTGTGTTACCTTGCAGGATATTGATGTTTTGGTCGACTAGTCTGAGGAAGGTGAATCATTTTCTGGTTTTAGTGACTTAGAATCGGAAAATAGTTTCAGTGCTATTGCCAGTGGAGTGTGTGGTGTTGCCAAGCGTCATTTTGTCGTGTCAGCAGCATCTGGCCCAGCCATGCGGCACCGCATGGCACCACATAGGGACGCTGATGAACAAAGACCCTCAACATCAAGTAATTTTCTGTCATCGTCCCTGCCCACCCCTACTGTTCCTAGACCTGCTTCAGCTCCTGGTCCACAGTTTCCTCGCCATGGTGCCGCTATTGGCTCTCGAAAGACACCAGGTGTTTTTGTGTGAAGTGATGGGACAGATTTTGTTCACAAATTCCTGTGTTTGATAATTCCAATGTTGGGATTACAGATCTTTTCCCCTGATAAACGTTCAGATATGTGTGAATGAACTATTTTACCGCATATTTCGATGAAATGCTCATGGAATATATTGTTCAGAAAACGAACAAAGATGTGACTGATCTCATTGATGAGAAGTTATCAGAGTTTTCACGTTTACAGCGATGGAAAGATACGACTGTGAGTGAAATGTATGTGTTTTTGGCACTGTGTATGTTGATGAAACATTGTGTCAAATACGTACTTGACCATTATTGGAGCAAAGACCATACTGTTCCAACACTGATGTTCGGCAAATATATGTCTCGAGACCGATTTGCGATAATCCTCAGGTGTCTTCATTTTGCAAATGATGAAGACCAGAATGATGATGATAGACTTTAGAAGGTAAGGCACGTCCTGAATGAACTTATTGGAAAGTACAGGGGTACCCCAGTTTAAGAGTTTAATATGTTCCTGGAGACAGCTCGTAACCCGAAAACTCGTAACCCGAAGCTAATTTCCCCATAAGAAATAATGGGAAATGAATTAATCCGACCTGACTACCCAAAAACCTCACTTCAAACTAAATTTTATACCTAATTCATCAAAATCTACACTACAAAACTATGTTCAAGTTATTACTTACCCTTGCTGATGACTGCTGTTGGCGTATGGAAGATGGTGAGGAGGGGGGAGGAGGAGAGGTGTTACTGTTTGGAAGGGAAGTCCCCTTCGATTATAACATCAGGCAGTGAGGACTTCACTGGTGTGCACACACTGGCACATTTTGCCTGCATACCACTAGGACCTGCTTGTGGCTCACTTCTTGCTTGTCTTACTAAGAATCTGTCTAAAAGACACTTGTTTTTCCCTACATTTTAACACTTGTCTGTAGTAAGACATCACATTGTCATTTAAAAAGTCAATGCAACGGCCTGCTACAGCTTTATCTGGGTGAATTTTTTTAACAAAACTTTGCAGTTCTTCCCATACTTCACACATTTTCTTAATGAGGAAGGGACATCCTCCACTCACAATTATTTTCTTAGGTTGAACCTTACCACTGGCTTTCTTGGGACCCATCGCGAGATATATAATAACAACTTTTATGTTCAAATGGCCAAAGATCCAACAAAACACTGTAAATGCTGGTGAAGAATTGAGGTGGGATAGTCACTGGGCGCGAGGCACTGGTAAACTGAGCGGAGATCGCCGTGCCACCACGCGCTAGTTGGCCCGTACGCGTATCAACACCCTCGTATCCCGATACAAATTTTCCGAGCAAATCCTGCTCGTAACCCGAAAAACTCGTAACCAGGAGCGCTAGTAAGCCGAGGTACCACTGTACAGGGATTTCTAAGTACCAGCTCAGAAGCTTGTGATTGACGAATCCCTTGTGCTTTTCAATGGACATCTTGCCCTCAAGCAGTATATTACCTCCAAACGCCACCGATTTGGATTGAAATTCTTTGTATTGCGTGACTGTGAAACAGGAATTGTGTTACACATGATCATGTATACGGGTACAAATGTAGACATTCCTGCTAATGACCAACATGGCTTCTCAGGTAGTGTTGTGAAGTCACTGCTTGCACCATATCTGAACAAGGGCCACATATTGTACACAGATAACTATTATACCAGTCCCTTACTAACTAGGTTCTTGCCTGATAATAGAACTGGAGTGTGTGGCACAGTGAAGGCAAAACGAAGGGAAATGCCAGTGTTTCACACTTTTATGCAGGTTGGTGATTGTGAGCTAAGGAAAACAGGTAATTACCTAAGTGTAATTACCTAAGTGTAGTTACAGGATGAGAGCTACGCTCGTGGTGTCCCGTCTTCCCAGCACTCTTTGTCATATAACGCTTTGAAACTAATGACGGTCTTGGCCTCCACCACCTT